TAAAGCTGTATGTGTTACCAGTGTCAAACTGTCTCCTATAAGCATCTGCAGGCAGTTTAGACCGGGAGGGATACTGTAAAAGAGCATGAAGATCCCCAACCCATACCTTGTTCTGATGCTTTTTCGGATGCATGAGCGGTATCTGCACTCTTCGTAGCTTTAAGGTCTTGTTCTGGCTTTTTAGGCTCTGAAACAAAATGAAGCACATTAGGAAATGCAGCTCTGGAAGAAAATAAAGTCCCCTATTTAGAGATCATAAGTCCCCAGAAGAAGGGATCCCATCACGTGGCATTAGGTAGGTCAGTCAGTCTAATCAGAGCTTTCTCAGTAAGCGAGAAAAAGTGATGGCTGGGTGCCTCTAGACAGTAGTCACCCCATATTTTTGGTGCCAAATTTAGACATTTTTACTACCCAAAAGCTGCTGCCAAAGTCAATAGAATTTCTGAAATGAGCAATAAATATGGGGTTTTACCACTAATAAACCAATACTCATAACATTAATGCATGATGCTGTTGATTTTTCTTCCGAGTAGTAGTGTGTCCTGAGAATCAGGGTCATGGTGTGTGTAGGGTGTTTGGGGAATACCAGCTAACATGCAATATTTCAGTCACTAATTCACATTCAGAAGAAGTTCTTTCTTGCCTGACATTGTCAGATTATTATGGGGCCAAATCCTGAATGCCAAGGACTGGCTTAGAAGGAAAAGGGAGATTTTTTTGGTCCTTTTTTTCTTCTAAGACTCAGAGTCATCAAAGTACTTGGAACATTTATTACAGCTCATTTACTGCTACCCTGCAAAAGAATCTGCCTCTGCTTTTATGTCTGACTGAGTACTAGAGGATTTTGATCTTCCATATTTTTCTCATCTCTAGCTATTATGGCAGCATTGACCTATTTGAGACATTACTCCAGGGTTAACGGCTTCCTAAAAAATTGTGTTATTTTTTAAAATAACAGCTTTTGATTGTTTTTACCAGCTGTGAATTGTTACAACTTTGGGGAGGTTTTTTCTTGCTGTGCCCAGCATGTGGGAAGCATTGTAACCACCAGCAGCATTTAAAAAAATGTCAGGCACTATGAATCTCTGGCATCCCTGGGATGAGGAACAAAATTGCATCTCTGACAGCTGATCAGGTGTGAAGCAGTGTTTTTCGCTAATCTGGCAGCAGGTGAGTGTAATCCTCAGAAGACTGCCTTTACCTCCTACAGATAATGGGTTTAAGTATCCAAGTGTGCAATGTGGTCTCTATAATTTAAATCAGGAGAAAAAGGTAGCTTTTCTAAAATTAAGAAATATGTAGAAAATCCTCTGTCACAAGATGGCCCCAGCACCATATTACAGACATTTTTATCGTAAGAACAAACTTTTCCTAGCTGAGATGGCTGGGCTGAGGCAGCAGGGCTAAAAAGGTCTGATGGGACCAAGGGAGGCTTGGGGAAGGTGGATCGTAACTATCAGGTCTCTGTGCTACCTATGGGACAGGGCTAGGCAAAGCAAGGCAGTGGCATCCTCAAGCACTGAGTTTGATGTAACAGTTATTATTTGCTCCTTTGATCCTCTTGGGTTTTCCCTGCATGAATGCACGATCTTTGTTACTAGGATCCTAACATTTTCATTCACGCTGTTTGAGTCAAGAACAAAGTGAAGGAAAGCTCTTGCGTCTTTGGTTTGCTGCAGGAACAGTCTCCTGGTAGTTTGTGTGCATGTCTGAGTTGTGACTTGATGATTCCCCCTGTTCCTCTACTGATTCTCACATAACATGGGTTTTAGCGCTGGTGGAAGAAATTGTTTCTTGCAGCCTGCTGAGCCTATCTTGGCTGCGATTGTCCCTGGTCTGGTGTGAGACGTCTGGGCTGGTACCTCACATGTGGGTACATTTGGGAATGGTGAGAATTAGTGTTAGTGATTGTTTCCTAGAAAAAGCCAAAATTTCTAAGGTACTGCCTCCCTTCTAGCAGTACAGTTTTGGGCCAGTAATTTCTGTGTGCCTGGTCAAGACACATATACAAATCTCTACCTGTTTGATTGTAAATACGAAGTTATTGCAAACAAAAGGCATGGCTTAGAGTGATGCATATTCTGTCTGAACAGCTACAGTGTTAAGAAGAAAATGTGCCTTTGTGCAAGTAAAAGCCTAAAGATGAGGACAGAGCTCTGCACTGTTCTCCCACAGACCAAACAATAACGGGCAGGAGAAGAGCAGGACTCCGTGTAACCTCTGTGTGGCCTTGGAGGCATGCATCCACTGACAGGCACCTGAGTTCATGGAGAAGATACAGTGCATCTTGTTATATCACAGCCCACAGAGGACAAGATCAGGAAGGCTGAGGCTCAGCAAACAGCAAAAGAGCCATCTTAAGGAAGTGTATAGTAGTATGAGACATTCATTTCGCTTTTGTTCACAGCCCCAAGGAAAAGTCTGAACAATACACAGTTGTTTCAGGGAGCACAAACAAGTATCATTTCAGTGACGGAGGCACTGCACGTACACTTGAATATCAGCTACCACCTGGCATGAGGTCTGATGAAAGATCTCTGAAAACAACTAAATAATTTAAACTGAGTTGAGTCTTACAGAGTAGGATGCTGACTAAAATGGTTATACAGAGTTGTTCCTTTTCATATCATCCTTAGCTGAAGTTGCAGTGCATTGCCATCTGTGTCATTAGTATTATATTATTATTTATTACTGTACTTTCAACACTGAAAATCCCAAAAGATAACACGAAGAACATTAGGAGAAAATCAACATGTAAAACCTCAATTTCTTTCATATAATCAGTGCAACATCATACTCGCTAACAGATTTAAATCAAGGGGGAAACTACTTGGGAACAGAAGTCTGTAAAACATGGTATGGTGAGAAAATAGAAATTGACTGGGATAATTTCCATATGCTTAACATCAAAAATATCATGAGGGATTTGGAGGAGATACTAAAGAATGCATTAACTTCTGGCTCTGAGTAGTTTTATCTTAGTATTACACAACTGAGAAGCTACAACACGTAGTTGTGAATGGATGTAAGGGAGAGTCAGTCATAATTACTTGCCTGATTTAACAGCTGTGCTCTTTGAAGAAGCATATTCAAGAGTTGATGGATATGTCACACCTTTTCTTGGCTTGCCCTCTAAAAAATATCATTAAAAAACATCACATAAAATGTCTAAGTTTTCTTGCAACAAAACTCCCATCTAACATATGCGTTCAGAATCAGACCCCACTTCTTTACTGCCGCACTCATTTTCTTGAAGATTTCTTTCATTTGATGGCAGAATCTCAAAACCATGCCACTAAAAATACCAATTCCTAAATCCAACATCATTAAAAAAAAAAGTTAGAAAGCGTGAAAACACAGTGCTGGGAAGGATTTGAAGAGGCCAGCTGGTTCATTCCTTTGCTCTCAAATGGTGTTAAGCATAAGGGGACCATTCCTGGAGGACATCTGTATAACCTGTGCTTAAACTCACAGCCTCCCTAGGCAGCCTTTTCCAGAGCCCCACTATGCGGTTGAGTTAGAAAGCACTTTTGATGTGGGATTCACTTTGTCACGCACACAGCATTCTTCTCTGACCTCACTTTTGCAACATGCCATTTCTGGCAACAGCCTTTTGCGGTAATAACAGTGAGAGAAGGCTATGCTTGTGTGTGGGAACATATGGTACCTATGTTTAGATCTAAAATGAGGGTCTTGCCTTAAAACAATGAGGTACGTTTCCAAGTTAAGCTTTGAACCACAAATCTTAGTGCTGCATCAGATGCTATCTCTGTTGGTACATGTGGCCATGCAATTCCATCTCTTGGGGCAGTTTTTAAATTCCTGTATGTATCACTGCATGAAAAGTGTTTCAGAGAAGCCCAGTGTAGGGCAGACTGCTCTGGCCTCTAGGAGTTTGTGGATGTAGGAATTCTGGACCCTGGTGACTGTCTCTATGAGAAGCTGTGCTGTGTCATGTGTCTGGACCACCTCAGGTGAGACCTAGCTCCACCTCCTGCAAAGCCTGAGACGTGATGGTGATGCCAGGTTTTCTTTCCTTTATTCCTTCACTGGATTCATTTAGAAGGTGTATATAGCAGTGCGAGCATGCCAGTTGTCATCCTGGGTGGCTAATCCAGAGACAAACAGCATGGAACAGAATTAGCTGCTACAGACTGAGCTGGGAACTGGGTTTCCCCTGCGATGGCACACAAAGAACGGTAAATGCCAGAGGAACTGGTCGTCTACTGCAGAGATGGCCATGGAGCTGGAGAAGCACTGTCCTTTGTCTCTTTTCATGTTTTTTTCTCCTTTGTTTTACTCCCTCTGAAATTTCAGATGCCATTAAAAAACCCTAGAAGAAGAAGTTAGTTTGAGATAGTAATGAAATAATGATGTAAGTATCTAATCCGTTTCTCATTTACAGTGGTATAAATTGAGAGCAGCTCCACTGAAGTCAACACAGATCTGCCAAAGATCGGAGCTGTCAAGTTAGCGTGTAAGGACAAGTCTGAGAAGGCTAGCTCCTTGCCTTCAGGTCTCTCACAGAAGCTGGCCTAAGTGAAGGGCAGCAGGGCTTCACTGCCACTTCCCTCCAAGCCAAAACCTGGATCAGAAGCCAAGGAGGACTAGGCAGCTCTTCTGCCAATTTTGTAGAAAGACGGAAAAGGTACAGGATTGCAGATGATTTTCCAAATGCATTTCTTTATCCCCAACAGAGGAAAAGTTGTCAGGTATAAGTGGCTGTTACATAGATACAGCGAGAGCATAATAATCTGATTTTAATTTAGAATATTTCTGTGCTAATCTGATTTCTAATGCAAACCTGAAGCCCGCTGCTGTGCAAATAAACTAGCCGGCACAGGGGCTGCCTGCTCCCAGACTCTGAGGTTTTTGATCAGCAGCAACTTGCATCCCATATGTGATCAAGAGGTAGGTCTGAGGCCTGACCTGAGCAGGAGAAATCGTAATATATCTCTGGAGCAATGGTAATATATCTTTGCCACTGTCTGGAAAACATTGCATCTAGATTGGAGTTTGCTTAACAAACTTAAGAATGGGTTCACGTGTGGGCTGAAAAGCTCAGCTTCTGGCTGTTGAAGTATAAGCTATGAAGTGGTGGCTGCTCACCCTCTCACGCTTATTTGTGACTGGCAAACCCAGAGATTTAGGACTCTATTTTCTTAACCCACTAGCTGCAAAACTCCCGCTAAACTGAATGGAGTCATTCAGCTGAGTGCCAAGGCATTTCAGTGCTTGAAAGTGAATACCAGGGTGTTTGCATACCTCCTGGTGTGCTGGCTGCTCTAATCCCAGAGGACAGACCTCGTCCCCCTCTGCCCCTAAATCACGCCGCTTCATCGCCCAGGGTCCCCCGAGGATTCCTCTTCTGTGCTCTTTTGTGCGGGTGCTCATTCACAATTTGAACATCACAGACTCTCGGTGACAATATCCTAACCGGGAATAAACCATTGGCACCTTCCCAGGGTACCGTAGCACATGAGGGTCTGGTCTGCTGAAAGGGAATTCGGCTGCAGAATGAGGGATTCTGTTCAAAACTCTAAAGCAGTCCTGAAATTAATGCCTTAGGTGACTTTCTGGTTTTATTGGGGAATGCTTTACGCAGCTCTGTCTTTTTATGACTCATAATTGTAAAAAAAAAAACCCAGCTCATCTTTTTCTGAGAGTGAGCTCTATCTGCATTCAGCCTCAGGCTGCTGAGATGAACAGCAGAGTCTTCCTGGGGTTTTAGTCTGCTAAATTTCTCTCTAAAATTCTAAAATTCCCATATTTTCAGTAGTTATAGTGAGAGTTTTCTTCCTGTTTATATACGAAATATGATAGGATGTATGAGATATCATATATTGTGTTAGATTTATGCTTGAGCTAGTTTATAAACCAAGTAGTTCTGCTAACATCAGTGAGAGCACTCAGCAGGCATAAAATTAAGTGCATGATGGACAAATCTCATCATGCCTACACATACCCAGATTTCTCATCATCCCCTCTTACATGTAAATTTCTCTTGTCTATTCTTTTATACTGTCTCATTAATAAAGAATAAAGATTTGTTACTATAAATCAAAAATTCCTACAGTTTTATGGGATAACAACTGAGCAGCTGCTGAGGTAAGTAAATCTTATTTCCCATTTATGTACCAGAATTACAATGTGCTGTTTGTCGGGGGAAAACCAGCAACAAGTACAAGCAGCAATTCAGCTATTCCAGGAAATCCCTACTCATCCAAAATAAATCCTTCTCATAATGTGGTGTACCCACGGCAGAATGCTGTAAAAAGTGCATCCAAATCTACTAATGCAAACTCCAGACAACCATTCGTTTTGGTCAGTTTCTGAGACCTTCTTTGCTGTCCACAAATTTTCATATTTTTGGAGGCTGTTCAGTTGCCTGAGCTGTTGATTTTTCCAGGAATGGTGTAGTTAACTAACATCACTTGGTTGTAGCTACGCTAAACCTTCAAACTGCGGACCGGTAAGAACCAACCCACTGCATGGATGCAGCCAGAAGGTAGGATTAGAAGTTGTGTGTAAAGCAATGTAAATTAGACCCTCCTTTCACATAGGTAGAATAAGTGCAAGTGGGTTTAAGATAATCTGAAGCTGGTGTAAACTGGATCTGATTTACAACCAAAAATCTGTGAATTTTGTCAGTGAATCAAGTGAGCTGCTGTGTACACTATGGGGAGAAAAAAGGAATAAGCATTAAATTAAGATGGATTTTCCTGCACTGAATAGATATCAAAACTGTTTGGCTAACAGAGTTGGGAAGAATTCATTACATACTTGGGATGCACCAATAGAATTGTGTAATACAGCGTTTGCAGAAATACAGTATGCCTGTATGTGGCTTCAGATGGGTTGACCGAAGACAAAAGTCGCTTCAGGAGATGCGAACTCTGGTGCAGGCTGAGAGTGCTTCAGGTGGCCAAAAGGCCCTTTAGTTCACTTAGCAGCACCACTTGAAGGGGCAGAGAGCAAGTGAGATAGGAAGACCTCCCCGTCGGTACCGGGGCTTGGATTTTATGCATCAATAGTGGGAGCTGAGGTGCCCTCAGAGGGTCAGTCCGGATCACCTGTCACCTCTCGCAGTGGGCTTGGACCCACCCTGGGCTGAACCGAGCATGCTGCTGGCAGGGTGCATGGCTCTTTGCAGGCCTTATAGGAAGCCCAGAATAAAAACTGTCTCCAGTGCTTCATTCATGGTAAAGCTAGGTGGGGTGGGCCTGTGGTGACTAAAGAGGTCTTTGAAACGAGAAGGCTGCTTCCCCCTCTGCCCGTTGCTGCCTGGCTCTGGTACCAGGGTACCTGACACGAGGAAGGACTCCCTCCAGCGCGGCAGTGACAGGGACCGGACCCCGTTGGAGAAGCTCCCGTGGTAACCGGAGTGGCCGGCGACTTTCTGGACGAGGACCTTCCCACCTGTGTTGTCAATAATACCACTGCAAGGGGAAAACATGGTGTCTGAAGGTGGAAATTCCCCCCCCAGAAACTTAGAAACTGTTCAACAATGCAAGAGGTATGGAGCGTTCACTTTTACCTTTAAACCAGGGACTGCAGTGGAGCTGTGACACTACTGCTAAGTCTGCTGCTGAGAAACATTTGTGCTGCTGCCACATAGAGAAGAGCAGTTTGTTACAAAGTGCTGTCGGGATCTGTTTGCTCTTCCCACTGAGCTACTGGTCCTGTGTTTAAGGTTGACCTAGTTGCACACAAGAACAAGCTACTGCCTTCGTTAAAATTTCTGCAAGCTTGACAATGACTGAAGATACAGGGAGAGGTACTCAGAGGAGTTTTTGGGCCAACCACGTGGCAGAAATACAAATTTGAGGCAAACCTCCCACTTGCATGACTTTTTCTGTTGTAAGGAATGAATGTTTTCTTTGAGTACCAGTATGTGTTACCTGCAAAAAAACAAAGCCTGGGTCTGACCTCAGCCTGGAGTAAACTGAACACAATATCGCTAGAAGCTGTAGAAAACCTGACAGGCTCCATGTGGGGTGCACATTAAAAGGTGTTTGACATATGAAGTAACATCTATCTCAAGGCAACCAGAAAACCTGCAGTGCATGCACTCTGCTGTGGCATCGTTAGGAAAGCAGGCAAACCAGGGAGCGACTGTGGCTCTTGAGGGGTGGTAGGGATGGCAGTAAGGACGCTGCACAGGAAAAAAAGTGACGGGCAGCAAATAATGGTGCAGAGTATGTTAGAGCTGTAGCTTTCTCTGATGATTGCCAGAAGCTGCTGGTGAAACAGCTGTAAGGAAAGGAAATTCACTGTCTGAGGAAATGCAACATATAAGCTAACAGAGCCAAACACAGCCGGCAAACAAGGAAAACCGAAACCCTTGCTTGAACAATACGGGCAGCCAGCGGAAATTTGAATGACGGTGGAAATTGCAGTTGCCATCAGTATTTTGTAACTTCCCTTTCAGACAAGCTCTGTGTGCAGAGACAAACAATTTCTATTGTGCCCTGGTATCATAAGGAAGAATTTGTGGTTTGAAAGCCGCCCCCCCTGGCCGCCACCTCCCCAGCGAGGGGGGCTGAGCAGACGGAGCTGCCGCTGGGAGGTGGCAGCCCCGTGCATGCAGCCACGCCAGCCTGTGCACTGCGCAGTGCAGAGGTGAGCTAGCAAGTCCCTTATCTATTCAACTTTACTCAAGGTCCCAGCTATTTCACAGAACGGGAAGCGCTGCAATAGCTCGACTAACTCCGAGTGAAGCCAAGTTGCCAGTCAGGCTTTGTAAATCCTTACTGCATTTTCACCTGAATGCATCCTACCTCGGCTATGGTGTGTTTGAGTTGTGAAGTTATTCTCCATTAAAATTTAATGCACATTTTTGCATGGCTAATAAAACTCAACAAAATTTGTGCTACAAAATTTGTATTATACATGTTCTTGTCCAGCGTCTTTTTCTGTGGCAGGAAAGTACATTACTCAGGCTTTGATGCAAGGACAGTTAAATTCAAATCTGCAGAACCAAACCCAGTCCCAGAAGTATCAGAATTATGTGTATTCATCACTGGTGATACGCGTATTTTTTTCTGAAGCTTTATTAGTAGCAGCAGCTCCATCCCTATCTTCCACTTGAAGACTAGAAGCACAGTAGCAATTTGCTATGCATAAATGAGAGATCTGCAAATCTCAAGACAATTCTCCTAAAGTTGAGAAATATCTTCAAACACGACTGCTTTCAGTATGAATACAGGATTGACAGCACTTAGAAGACTGGATCCATTGCAGCACACATGGCCTTTCTCACAGATTTTCAAACCTGTGAGGCAGTGGGAACTTTACAGGGTCTGAAAAGCCGAGAGCTCCTTATGCTGAAATGATGGTTTTGTCCGAGTGCCTTCCGCATTTAAACTCACTCACCTGTGAATTGCAGCATTGCACACACTGGAAAAGGAAGCATAGATGTCTGTGCCATAAACACGGTGTTTTACATCTTGACATCCAGGAGGGCACTTTGCAATGAATTCTGGATTGATTATCTTCCCTGCTTTGACATCGCAATCGATCTGGGGTACATCTGTGAGTACAAAATCTTGGTAAAGTCAGAGGGAATGTTTTCATAGCTGAGTGATCTTGTCATGACACAGTGAGTAACGGAGTGACAGGGGTGCCCTCCTCTTCTGCCTTCATATCAATGGTTTTGTGATACGAGACATGTCTATGTGTTCTGCATCTGCAATTTAACACATAATAACCCCTATACTGAGGGACATGGCTGTAACTAAGGATGGATTACAGAAGCCTGCAGGTATTTCTGACCTTCAGTGTTTGCCTTTCTGAAGGAAATATCTGTTATGACACTTTGCTGGATAGAGAAAGAAATGCAGTCACCCAGGCTGTGGTTAAGGTGTGGGAAGGCGGAGTAGGGGAAGGGCTGTGCACACACAAAGCAGGGTGCTTCCCAAGCCTCCCACTGTGTTCTTGCAGCTCCCTGACATCTATAACACCAGGCTGCACCCACAACCCATTATCTTGCCCTTAATTTTTAATACTATTCAGTGGGTGCGATTTACTTTTAACAAGGAGTTGAAGTGTGAGCTCACAACCCCGCAGCAGGCCTGTTTGAAAACTAAACAAGCTAAATAATCTGTGGACAGGAATGCTCCTACAGCAATGTAGCTGAAAGTTGCACACCTTGGTGCACAGGAGATGTATCACTTGTCCCATGCTAATCAACTATATATGCTTTGTGTTAGAGGAGGTCCATGTCACAGGTTTATGTCTCTCTGTGCAAGCCATAGTGCTTGCTTAGATCCTTGAGTGGTACCTAATGACCTACGAAGACTCATTTTAGTAGTGATGTACACAATTTTCCCTTTGCACACATTCAGTAGCACACACTTTACTTAGGGATTTGATTTCAGTAAAAGAATCTATTGGCTAACACATGCTCCCGTTGACTCTGCAGACAATTGCGAAGAGTTACCAGAATATAACCTCACCTTTTTCGTCTTCTTTGTGGCTTCCTTAGCTGCGTATGTACACATAAGAAACACACCTAAACCAAAGAAAACATAGTATCAGGAAAAAGGGGGACTATCAACATCGGTCACCACAAGATCCTGTGCATGAGATTTCCCAAAACTGAATCAGCAGATTGAAAAAATGAAACAGGAACATTTTCAGCCACAGCTAGATTTCTACTTGCTCGTTAACTTCGCAGTCAAGATGGCATCTACTGTGGGGCAATTTTCTGAAGGGGATTAAAGGTCAGTTCAGCTCACACGTTCATCTGTGGAACTCACTGTCAGAAGATGCCATTGAGTCCATGTGGTCCAGAAAACCACGAAAGGCCTCAGAATTTCCAAAAGTGGTGGCAAATTTTTGTAATTGGAGTGCTATAGATGTCAGTGAAATAACATGCTCTGTGCATGAAGCAGCTGGGAAGTCAGGGAGAGAAAGACCCTTTTTAATAGCCCGTCAGGGCTATCTTGTAATTGTGTGTTGTGGCATTTCACTCACTGGTGGTAGCAGGTATAGGACACTGGGCAGCATTACGGACCATATGAGCTTCCAGTGCGGCATGTGCCAGTATCCTGTCCCAGCAAGGGAATTTATTTTCTTCAGTAAGCAGAATTATGATTTGAAAAGTCTAATAGTAAAATGGACATACACTGTTATGTTAAAATATACATCACAATACATGCATGTATCTTACCTTGTTAGGTTTGCTTGCTAAGTGCTTGACATTCAAAAAACTCTTCATTCTCTGTGCTTGTTTTGTGAGGACTATGTTACAGGTAACTAATAACTCCATTACAAATATCTTGGCTTTCCTATTCACCTTTCACTTCTCTGAGCTTTCAGAGGGAATTGAAACTCTCTATGATGTTTTGGCTGATCCTCTCATCATTTGTTAAGTTAATATTACTAGAATACGCAACAGCAGTCTTGTTTCTTTCTTTTATGCTCTTCTCCCCCTAGACCGGTTGCAGAGAGTTTGCAGACTTAATCACACCTAGAACTTGCTCAAAAGGAAAATCAGTCTTACAGAGTCTGAAGTGACAGCGTATAGATGCAGCGTTGGTGCTTTTTGCCACTGGTGCAGTTGTGCAGCTGTAAAAGGCAAAACTGTAGCTACATAGAAAAGGAGAGAAATGGTGGAAAATAAAGTGCAAAGTCCCAGCTACATGCAGTGTTAGGGCATAATTCAGTATGGAGAAAGTAATTTCGTCTCTTAGTAAAGACAGAAGAAGTACTTAGGTAGCTATGAATTTGAACTAAGAATGGCTATCCTGACAGACTGGAGGATCCCAGCTAGAAGGATTATCGCCTGGGAATATCACAATTAAAGTCATACAGCACTGTTAGGCTATGCAGTGGCTGGATCTCCATCAAAGGGAGACAGGTAAGCAAAGTACGCTAAGAAATCGTGCTTGATCAACCAGAGTGTTCATGTGAAATGAATTGCAAATTCTGGAGTTACTATTTGTTCCTGAAAAGCAAGATCCATTCTGACTGCCCGGGGAAAGAAATTAAGTCACATTTATAACCTTTTTCCTTTGACACCTTCTTGTTCATGGAAAGAGCAAGAACACAGAGAAAAACTGGGAAGGGATGCTCCAATGGAATAAACAACTTTTTTTTCTTTGGAGGGAATCTTTATGTTACAGACCAAGTATATATTCAGGCCAAGCTGTGCCATCTGATACGGACTGCATGCAGCTGATCATGTACTTAGAGATGTCTGCAAATAATTACTATTATTTCTATGCCAAAGTCAGGAAGTTTGGGTAGTCTGTTTCTGTAAAGCCATGACAAGGCCACCTGCCATTGAGAGCTTCATCAGCCGTGGAGTCCAATGGAAAGAGAAGAAGCCATCAGCAAGGGTCAACCAGGACAGTACAAACCCTCAAACTGCTAACTGCTGTACTTACCAAAGAAGGTTGCAATGACTGTGGCCTTCATGGTGAATACAGCAAAATCTGGATGTGTCACTAAGGACCACTGAAAAGGAAAAGAAGAGTACATTAGGCTGCATTTGGAGGTATTGCAGATGATACTGGAACAGTGGAGAAGAGGGACTGTGCACTCTTCAACCTTTCACAGTCCTCACATGCTGCATCCTCTTCTCAGGCTTTGTAAAGGAGTTGATGTCCCCAGTGGGCTGTGGCACTCCCATGGACTAGTTTTTTACTTCTGCCCAAGATTTGCCTTTTGCCTTCATTCCACATACTTCTTTCTGAAGCCAGTGGCAGGAAAGGGCATGATGGCTATGGACACACTCTGACAGCTGTTCAAGTTCATGCACTACTCTTCTAAGGCATAGTCATAGGATCATATTGTCTGCACATCGAACTGCACCATGTATTCTCATAAAGATACAGGGAACATAAGTCCATTCACTCCTCAAGGACGTTGCATAAAGTATCTTGCAATCGTGCCATTGTTTGTGAGCCAAACTACTGGTTTCTTTCCTTTTCTGAGGATGAGTGTGTGTGCACATGCGAGCACCTGAGATTGAGAGGACCCTGTCAGAACATCTGAACAATGTTTTTTTCTGGATCTGCATATGTGATTCCTGACTCCTACCACCCCTGAAGCTCTTGGCCAGGCTACAAGAACACAAACTTACCAGAGACAACCCCTCTCAGCTTCTCCTGAGCGTCACCTCCCATGCTGCTTTTGCAGTTATTTGGGGATTGTTGAGGGAATGCTGGGTTGGGTACTCATAATTAATCTCAGTCATTAAAATACTGCAAGATGCTTGACAACTATCAGAGTAAAAAGTCTGAGAGGCAGAAAATTTTTGTGTGCTGTGCAGGAAAAGGTTAAGGATCAAAATAAACTTGGTCTTCAAAGAAACTGATTACATGCCTACAAACGGAAAGATTTGTACTAAAATAAAAATCTCATTTGCTGTCAAGGGAGAAAATACATGGAATGTTAAAGATGGAAATGATCAGGAAAAGTAAGATCGGCCACCCCAGAAATTTAGACTGACCAGGCAGATACAGGACAGAGAGGAAAAAAATCAGCAATCTGTCTTCCTGTACAATGTTTCCACATTTTTTATTTTAACTGCTCTTCTTTTTCAAACAAGCTACATGCTTCTTGAGTGAGGATGACTGAAATGGAATGCTAGGCTAAACTGAATTCACCCAGTTCTAGGCCTATATAGTTTATAACCCTTTTTACATGGACCAGCCGCACCTCTGACTTTTGCTTCTGTGCTACGATCAGCGAGCTTCAAATACCAGGACACGTTAACAGTGTCACTTCCTAATAGCACTATGTCTCTTCTTAATGATCGCCCTAATCCAGTCCTCCTGCTAGGCTGCTAAAGCTGAAAGCAACAGAGGTTGCTCAGCAGACACCGAACTGAATCCTGGGGGTGTGGAAGGTGGCTCAACACGGTGACCGTGTCTTTCTGCAAAACGGCGGACAGCGTGGTTGGGGTGACCCCAGGCTATATGAGCCATAGCGGCCAGAGCTGTTGTGTGGTAATCATCTGCTGTCACTGTTAGTTTCCGTGAAAAAACCTTGCCCATCTCCTCAAACAAAAATCCATTTTAAGCATTTACTGCAGCGTATTTTCACTGCGAAAGGCAATAGTAACGGTATGTAGAAGAGAATTTTGAGGAACTTAGCTCAGATGCTTTTCTCTGCACTTGTATGTCTCAACCCATCACCACATCAGAGATACCAAAAAATTACCACCTGCAAGGAGTTATCCCTTCAGGTCAATCTGAGAAAGAGAAGAGGAAGAATAAGAGTTGCAAGTCATCTGAGGAACCATGCACCTTTAAAAGACTATACTGGCGCTGACTTTGGCTTTGGAAAAGGCATCTTAATATGAGCAATCCCAAAATCTGCAGCAAATAAATTCAGCAGTGGCATCTTTATTTGAAGTCAAAGAGAGCTGTGAGAATTTGTCCTGACAGTATTTGGCTCTGCACTGAGGTATTTTCATCTCCAGCTTAATTAGAGTAGAAAAGGTCTGAGATGGTAAAAGATCCCTGTAAAAGCTAGCTTCATGGGTGGGTTGCTGTGTGCTTTGTGGAGGGAGTCCAACACTACTTAACTTCTCCTGTCTCACAAAATGTAGAACTACCTGTACCACCAGTACAAGGCTTCTCATTGCTTTCCGAAGGCCCTGCCGTCCCCAAGTCCTGCTGTCCCCAGGGCAGGGCCAGCTGCCCCAGGAGCCATCCCAGTCCTCTTGGGTGGTACTACCTCAGTCTTGGCTGCAATTACAGTCTCTACCTACTCTGCAGGTGGCATTGCTTTTCCAGTCAACAGAAAGTGGGCATTCTTTCCTAAAATATTATGAATTTCCTGCAGACAGATGCCGAGAAATCTAAAAGGAGTTCATACATAAAGCCTGTCGGAGGAAAATGAGTTCAGCAGACCCCTTAGCCTGCAATAACAGATATTTTATTAATAAAAGAGTTAACAGAAGCGTTTAGACAAGGCTGTTAGATTTACTTAGCAGATTTGTTGTCATAGCTACACACAAAAGCATCCTGTTGTGGACTCTGTACTCTTGCTAGTACAGTTTATACCAGTATCCTGATGGAAATAAATTATAATAGCAAAGAAAGAAACTTATTTTTGCCACTATATTAAATTCTACATTAGGCACTGACATGCCAGGAAAAATGCACAGACATCCTGTGACACAGCTCTGGTGGCAGGACTCTCAAGGGGGGTCCAGGTCTTCAAACCTTGGACTGTCACATGGGGGAAAATGCAGGAGGATTTACATTGCCAACCATGAAGTGTCCAGCTTAGAGGCTCCAGGCTTTCTGTTGTGGGAAGTCTGTGTGCAGTCATTGTATCTGGGGCCTGGGGAGTCACCTGCTTTAAGCCATAGGAGATCTCCTATACTGTACACTAGCTTGGCATCCGCTACTTGAAACAGCAGCCCGGAATAAAACAGTGGGGTTTTTCGTTTGTTTGGTAAGGAAAGGGAAAGCAGTGCTCCAATCCCTGCAAGTGACAGGCTTTTTAGTCCGTGTAGATCCACCAGGAATTTCGAGGATGATTTATCTGTAGATCAAGAATGATACTTTGCTATGAAGTACAAAGCTATTGTTCTGTTGTTCCTTTACCAAATAAATAGACCCCATTACAACAAAACCCAAAGTTTCTACTTTGGGTTAGTCTGCAGTACGAGTTTTGCTGAGATTTCTCCACGTCATATTTCTCTTAATGCAGTATTTGCAGTTGCACTCTGTACTGGTAACTAGTCACCATTCAGTATTAAATCTCCTTAACTGCATGCCGGATCTTTGTTTATCAGAGTACATTTTCCCATCTGTACCCTGCAGACTGCCGTGACAGAGGTTACCCTGATGCCAGGAAAGCAGTTAGGTATATGCATTACATTAACTTGTGCTTAAATCCCATCTAAGTCAAGTATAAATGTAGTAAGAAACACCTTCCTCAGTGTTTCACAGTGCAGATCCTATTTTACCTTTTAAAATCAAAGTTCTATTTGAAAGGATGTTGATTATATTTTCCTTACCACAAATACTTGAAGAAGTTGAATGTTAGTGAAGAGACAGAGTTAGTAAACTATTCTTTCTGCATACAAAGTAAGATTTTTATACTGACCTTTTATTAGCAGCTTGACTTTTATAAAGAACTGAGAGCTGCTACATGCTGCAACCAAACAGATGCTTTCAATCCATATAAATTGTCACATTAAGGCAAACTATAACATTTTCTGATGGAAGTGTAGGTTTTAAGTCCTTGATTTTTGGTGTCAGGCACTGCTGTCCATTCCATATGCAAACTGAAATTCTTTGCTGGTGCCACGTGTTTTGTCTCTGCAGGAGTAAGCAGTTTATTTCCTCTAATCTCCTGTGCCGCAGAAATTAATTTGTGTACTCTCTTTGTACCACAACAGTGTGTGTTATTGTTCGCCTTCTCAAGGGGCTGCAATATTGCAGCAGCACTGGTACCATAAAAAAAACAGAAGTGGACTTTGTTTGAAGTCTGAGCAAGTAGCATAGAGTTAACAACACAATCTCTAAGCTCTGTGGGTGGAGTTAAATATGTGCCCTTTATGGGACAATCAAGTGGGCTTGATGTACACGTGAGTAAACTGGTTTGGATAAACAGGAGCCGATCATCATCATCTAGAATAAAACATTTGAGATTTCTTTTCTGTTTTCTTTTGTTTCTTTTTCAAAAACTGTTTAACCCTGTCTTTGTTTCTTGCTCATATCCTGTCCCCACGGTGTTGTACCTTGCGCAGCAGTAGCACAGCTGTTCATTTTGGTGCACACCAGGGAGTATGGAGAAGACTTGTCATAGCGATTTAGTTTCACTCCCTTTCTTGTCAGAGGGAAGGAATGATGTATACTATGTGCTCTGTGTTGCTCTGAAAGTCTGTGCATAAAAAAAAATCCAAGTGGTTGTTTATTTTAAAAAGGCAGCTAATGAGTGCCACTGAGTCAGCAAGGCCAAGTTCATAACTGTTTCATTTCAGAGGCTTACATTGCCCTGTAGGAATCTCAGGCCAGGTCACTGGGTACCCAAAGATAAGATCCAGGGTGTTGTTTTGCAACAGTGAGCTTGTTTGCATGGGATGCTAAACTTTACTTTTCGAGTGGTCTGAAATAGAATACATTCATCCAGGAATTAAAAAATGTCACAGACCTCATCACGTTCTCTATAAGAAATGTGACTGAGCGCTCATCTGTTTTGTTTCACATATGAAGAAAATTGCAAGGGGGTTGCTATAAATGAAGCAAGAGAAAGCTGATGTCTGTACTAGCACCATCTGCAAAGATAGCACATGATATACTTTACCATATCAAAGAGCAGAAAAGAAATTAGTTGCCCACACTGGTTTTGGGAAGTGTCAAGAAGAAACTCAAGGTTTCCTGTACCATGTGCATTCTTCAGTCTTCTTCAGCTATTAGAGGAGCCTCTACTGCAGTTACAAACCCCACATC